ATATATATATATATATATATATATATATATATTGTAATCACTTTTATTTGTAATCATTTATAATTTGAGATGAATTATTTATTTAAAAAATTCAATGAAATTACAAAGTGCTCATTGACATGTAGTTATCTTAGTGAAAGATCTAATGATAAGATCAATAATTAAATAATCTGTAAGAAACACTGATTGATATGGCGGAATCTCCAATAAGTAATGTATAGAGACTGGACATATCTTGTAAAATAAAATACAAAGATTTGACAAAGTATATACATGCAACTGGAAAATTATCGATGACAGTAACTTTTTTTACTGTGAGATTATCGTACATGTATATGTTGATGATTATATTTCAACACAAACTTTTCCTACTTTAATTTTTTTTAAATTGATTCCACACAATTACAATAAAAGTGGTTTAAAATTAGACTTTAAATGTTGGTAAGTTAACTTACGCAAAGCGTTGAAAAGCCTTTGAAACGTCCATAAATAATTGATACGTCTTGTCTAACTGCTATTATCACTAAAAGGAAACTGTTCATCTGACACTCACACACGTGCAAAATTGAATGGGGAATGGGATTTAGTTTTACTTGATTTGGCAATCATTGAGGAGCTTTCTTTTTCTAAGAGATATGGTTGATCTTGAAAAGAACTGTTGATGTTTGTTTGAATCGCAACACATGGACTTAGCGTCATCAGCTTTAATTGTCTTAATCCATTACCTCTGTCAAGTCTAATTCATGCTCCTGGTGCTGTTGCTGCTATGGTAATGGTAGTTTTAACTGCTGTTGTTGCCACTGACATCTCAATGGCGATAACCGTGGATGTAGTGATGGAAGGTTTTGAAATCTTGGCGTGTGTAGGTCTCTTTCTCTTGGGTTTAGCTAAGGATATCTAATACATTTGTCTTGGATACTTTTTTTCACCCATATGCTTTTTTAGTATACAGAGCATTTTGTTTTATTCAACTTCCTTCTGCCCTTCACAATTCCAAGTTTACCTCTCTTCTCGTTTTTCTTTTACATCTTGTTCCTGTTGTTAAGTAAATGTTTTTTCTACTTCTTCCTGTCGTTGCAAAAATTCGACAAATATTCCTTTTGTATTTTTCTTAAATCGTCCACCAATTGAAATGACTGAGAAGAGGTGAATGTAGTACTACCATTGAAGGCAAACATTATTGTAGAGTTGACAGAAAATCAGCCAAAGCTAAATAAGTTATCCTCTTCTGGAACAATGATACTGATAACAGCTGTATTAGTAGTCGTAGTCATGGTGCTATCACTCCGAGTATACGATCAATCCGTAGCAGGCACACCTCCATACAATGTCTTCATGTTCTCATCATAGGTATGGTACTCAAACTGTTCTACAATTGTAAACCTTAGAAACGCTAGTGCCTATATGTATTTAAAGTAACGTCATACTCTCCTCAGACTGTAAGAGTCATCACACGCTCTAACTGAATTTTGCAACGCGTTTTACGATTGGTGAAACATTTCAATGCGCTCCTAGTGAATCATCCTGTAGCTTCACTTGTCTACAAGACAAGTCAAATAAGATAAGATTTCGATTTGTGTAGCTTCATCCACAGGAGTCTGTAATTTTATCAATAAAGCACGACGAAATTTCGGACTATATAAAATCACATTAACGATATTATAAAATAATAAAGGAATGCAACTCGATCACAACCCTCTGCTTGATTCGAATTTTCTCACGCGTCTTTTATCCCTTCAGAATCGCACGAAGACAGAAAAACTACACATAACCATTAAAAAAAGACAGTAGCGTACCTTCTCATCACCTTCGGACGACCATCGCATGAATCGAATCTGGCGAATTATCCTTTATTTTCATAATTACGGTCACAAACCCTTTAAAAAGCATCGAAAGGTTTAAAATTACTGATCTTTATGTCGCTAACGTGAAATGTTATGTTGCAAATTTTCATAGGTTCAAGATTATGGCTATTTATGCTTTTTAAAGGAAAATTTAAGGGTTAAAATACATCTACTAATTAACACACTAAAACCCAGTTTGCTACTAGCCTTCACCCAATTATGCCAGTAATACTCTGCTTGGAGTGGCCACCGCCTATTGGTGTAATACACATCACACTGTGATCAATTACCATTGATAACCGTTTGGTGTATCCATCATCATTTACTACCCAGCTATATATTATGCAACATTCAAAATATACCAATATCAATTATCTATTATAGTCGGGTTATTGGTCAGTACGCGAGGCATGTTAGGTATAGGTGGTGTTTGAATGGTAGATAATTGGGTATTGGTCACTACACACAGCATATTGGATAGTATATGTTTGGAATTGAATAGTAGATAACGGGGTATTGTTCACTACACACGGCGAGTTGAATAGCATGTTTGTGCTAAATTGTAGAAAACAAATTTTCACATGAACATTCCCATTTGATCCCAAATAACTTTTCACCCCATAAACACTTTTGACCCTATAAGCACTTTTGACCCTGTAAACACTGGGGACCCCGTGAGCACTTTTGACCCCATAATTCCATCCCCTGTTAAATCTATGTACGCCTTTATAATTATCATTTGACCTCTAAGCGGCGCTCTCGTGTAAGTATACGGCGCTTAAATAAGAATGATATGGCCTCCAAGAAACTATATGAAAATAACCGATGTCTGGTTTATCAAAATATATAAGAGAAATTAACTCAAAGTTCTTGTTCCTAATGTCATTAATTTAAATGATACTAACTTCAGATTTGTGTTATTCATTTTATTGTTCTTGTATTAAGTTTTGTATCAATTGTTACCACTTTCTTTCCTATTTAAGACATTAAATGCGTTTTTGGTTTTAATGGATGGACTGTTTTGAAGACAAAAAATTTGATATTCACATTTTGGACAACCAGTTATAACATGTAGCTTGAATTTCATTACATTCTGAATTGTTGCATAAGTCACGTAGCATTTCCTTGTGTGAAGTGAGGACCGAACCCTTAAAAATGTCACAAGTTGCTATCATCACAAAGAACCTATCATTCTTTCTGAACTGCATTGAACAATTTATCATGATCAGTAAGGAGCTCAATATTGTTTGCCAAAATCAGTGTATAATGCTAGTTTTGTAAGGAATCCATATCTGAAATATTTTAATTAGTCTTTTTGTTGCCATTACAAAGTTTGTTGACAGTGTCAAAAGATTTTAGGAGCTCGGAAAGGTTCAGTTGTTGCTGGCAAAATTGTCCCATGTTTTGTTAAAGTGAAATGTTATGTATATTTAATTTGCTTGTTTGTTAGTTAGTCTTTTTAGTTTTTATTACATTAAATGTTATTGATAATGTAACAATGTCTGTGGGACGTGACCTTGTCCAGAACCAAGTTGAGTTTCTACTTGACCTGAATCATTGTTTATTTTAATATTCTGTAAACAATTAATACATAGCTAAATAGTTTCTATGTGAGTATGATTTGACTATTAAGATTATTATTTTTGCAGGACTCAAGGACATTGTGTTTACCACTTATAAAGAATATATTCTTGGATTGCATCAGTATGATCCAACAAGTCTGTTGGCACATCACCACTACACGAGCCACCACATGTAAATCAACGCCTTCAGCGTTGGATTTATTTTGGATTTCCACTAAAGTTTATTCTAAACTTTAAGCATAAGGATTGCGTCTATAATTCAATGATTATTTAGAAATTAGTCTTTATTGACACCCGCAGAAATATTAAGTCGTATATCGGTCTTTGATCGTATGGCTTCACTGAAGCGCCTGAGTTGACGTTCTGACAATGATAGTTTATTCAAACCACCTTCTATGTTCTTTCTATAGTAATACGTTTATTCCACAGTTCTCATTTGATACTGATTGCAGTTTTTAAATCTGACAAGGAGTGAGACTGATACTAATATGATGATATGACACAATTGTTACGAGTAATCTAATTACATGTTTGCAAAACATTTACATGCTTTAGCCTGGGCCATCAATAACTCTAATTCGTCCGCCAACGCCTTCAAGCAGCATTGTTTTGTCGCTGAGTATAACAGCAATTGCTATGTAACTACCAGGAATAAGTGGTAGGCCGGATATTTTTGGTGGTGACCGTGATACAGATTGTCTGAATAATTATAAATGTTCCAATGAAAAGTAATACATTGAATAAAGCGTTGTAAAATCACGCTGTGATATCTTCAAACTAGAATCAACATTTTGATCACGCCCCAAAAATGGCATCCACCGATGATAAGCACATGCTACATGATTGCGATCAAAACGGGAATCATACATGAAAAATCTTTTTCATCACTCAACATTAATTTACTTGTGGAAAATCCTAAGTTGAATTCATCGTTCATTGAAGCGACTTCAGTTACAGCAACATTCAGTCTCACGTTATTGCTCTCGGGGTGACCGATTGTATCATTTGCAAACATCATTGATGGACCAACTGATTTTAAGTAATTATCGCTGTATCTTGCAAGGTCAAGTATCGTCGTGGCAAAATCACGTGTCATTCTGAATTGATTCAATATTCTTTCCATCAATCATGTATATGGCACTTTTAAAAAACGCCATGATACCATAGTTAACAAAACCAGGTCCATAACCAATCCCAATTCCTGTACTATCTGCTTGTAAAATCCTACCCTCGATTTTAATAAATGGCTCAGATGGTAAGAAATATCTTCTTGTATCCGTAACTTGAAGCTCAATTCACCCACGCTGATTTTGGCTATCGTGCATCATAAGAATAATATTAATAATCGCGCACAGATTCATCCTTGAGAAATGGCGTTTTCATGTCAAATGTGGGATCAGATACACGTTTGAACAATTGTATTATACTTACTATCATCTAACAACAAGATCACTTCCCGCTATTAAACTTGCGGTTATATTCTTTTTCATTTTCTGATAGTGGTACACCATCCAACACTGCTAGATTCTGATTCGCAGCTTGATTCATTATTTTACTAATATTTGCAGGAACCGCCCTGGTGGCCTAGTGGTTAGAGCGTCCGCCTCGGATGCGGAAGTTCGTGGGTTCGAAGCCCAGCTGTCATACCAAAGACTTAAAAAATGGTATTAACTGCTGCCTCGCTTGGCGCTCAGCATTAAGAGGTTAGTGTTAGGACTGGTTGGCCTAGTGTCAGGATAATGTGACTGGATCTGTGGCATGATGCCCGAGTGCTAGACATCACTATTAACTGGCACACTGCAGACATCATAGCGATATGACTGGAAAATTGTTAAAGCTACTTTAAAAATCTAAATCACACACATTTTTAGGCATAATTTCAGTGCTGAGTAATTTTACTGGCTGAGGTTTCCGTCGTATCAATCGTGCGAATCTATCTTTAATTGCCGAGAATGCTTTGCTAGCAATATCATCAACAGCAACAATACTTTTTCACGAATAATGTCAATAGCTTCCATTCCCAGTTGCTTTGCAATCGGTCTTGCTTTTGGGGCTATCCTTGTAAATAGACCCTGAACAACATCGCCTAGTCCATCACCTTAAATCGCTTTCTAGGTTGGTAATCTTGAATTATCACGCTGACGATTACAGGTCCACGTTGAGCATCATGCATGCTCATCTTATTTAATATTGTTTTTTTAATCACTGAAAATAATCGTCAGTAACTTTATTAATGAGTGACCGATACTGAGGAATTATTACCAGCTAGTTTTCCATCAATCGGAATTTTTTGTCGTTCAACATCGGCAAGGACGTCATTGGGAAATGGAGTATTAAGACCACTTCCTCTAGCAACATGACCACTTCCAGTTGTTTCTTTCTTACTTGTTGAACGTGATTCCCTCCTTCGTCTGATTTCTTTACATTCCAAATCGTTTTATTTTCTTGTTCGTTCAACCTCTTCAAATTTCGACTTCAATTTGTTTCTTTTTCTTTCCTTGATTGTTTAGCTTTTTCAAATTTTGACTTAATTTCTTCTTCTCTTTGTTCTCTTGCATGTTTCGTTTTTTTTTCAATATGTTCAACTACTTCCCGTTAAAAACATCGAACTGAGAAATCTCTCTCTCAGTTCTGAGTTGGGAAGTATTAGCAGCGATGCGATTTATATCCCTAATCCAATCGGCAGATCTCACAGTTTTAACATAATCGGGTTTTTACATACTTTTTCACGATATAAATACGCGGCAATATCAATTACTGGGGTGGGGGTGGGGGTGTCCCTGATAGCGGCAATACATTCCTCCGTAAATTTATATGTGATGAAAGTTCTAATTCTTGGCAGAGGATGTGGTCGTTCTTCGGGTGGTGGTTGAGGAGGTTGAACTGGTGGTGGTTGAGCTGCTTGAGTACGGCCAGCAATATCAACAGGTAACGTTGCAAGAGATTTCTGTGTTGCTTTAGCAATTTTCTTTTGTTTGTTCGATAATTGGCTTACATAACTGTTCTGTATCTTCAACGAATTAAACTTTAGCTTTCTGTCGATCTTGTATTGTTGTTTAACATTATTACGAAGCGAAAGTTATTTTTCAATTGCTTCTAATCACGGTCGAGCTAAACTAACTGTATGAGATTCCATTACTGATACAACGACGATTTAATGTATAGGAGCAGAGAGGGTGGCGACCAACAGTGAGGGTCCGGGTACGGAAACAAGCACGCCATAAGAAATGAAAATAAACACCAAAGATAGAAATAACCAAATGAGCTAACCCAATTAGAGAAATCGGTTTAGCTTTATTGATCTTGTGTTTTTAGCTTTTGTAGGAACCTTTTTTACATATATAATGACTCGAGCGAATGGTCTGTTCATCCTCTCTGGTGCACAAACAAATGACTCGTGCGTACAATTCATAACCACGTATGAGTCCTAAATATTTGTAAAAACTTGCAAATGAAACATTTTGACCAGGTTTACGTGTCCATTGTCTAACCTCACAGTTCTCCTGAATTCTTGGATTGGCCCACACTTGTATTGGCATACACACTCTTCATGAATCCACCATGCGCACAAGTTTACAAATCAGCAATTCCGTCCTTGTATGGCCTTGATGGTCACACATGCTTCCATCCCCATACAGACATACAGACGGCCAGACCGATAGCCTCTCTCTCTCTCTCTCTCTCTCTCTCTCTCTCTCTCTCTCTCTCTCTCTCTCTCTCACACACACACACACACACACACACACACACACACACACACGCATACACACACACACAAACAAACAAACAAACACACAGAGCTAAAATAAAACCAAACTGGTCATGATAACAGGTACGGACTAAATATCTACATGCTACTAAATTAGAATCTTAATACAACTTGTAATAGTTCAAAAGTATACAACGTTTCAAATCCGCGTCACTTTGTTTTTACAGCGTCGTCTACATCCTTGTTAGACGTGCCGTTTGAAATCGACTGTTGCTGCTGACAATATTCAAAGTTTTGAACGATGTGGAAAACTTTATTTTTCTAACATCAACTTGTCTCCTTCATTAATCAGTTTCTCTCTGACTCTCTGACTGTTTGTTCCAAATAAAATTATATCCCTTATCGGCATCGGCGTCATGAAAGTTGCAGTCTCTGTCTTTCAGCCTTAGTCGTGTGACGTAGGAATCAATTGATTCCGCCCCATGCACTTCCGTACTGAATCGATACCGCGCAAATAGAGGATTTAACTTTGGTTGCACTTTCGTCTTGAAACGGTCGTATAATGTTTGGAGCTTATTTGCGTCTTCATTTGAAATACCAGTCCACGTATGGTAGATGTCTCTCCCTTTTTCATCAACCCACAACAAAATCTTCTGATTTTTCTTTAAGCCGTCCATTAAAAATCAAAGTGATATGTAGTTTAAACCTTTCCCACTGTTCCAACAAGTTTGTAGCCTTCCAGTCCATGTCTGGTGGTTGAAGAACGCTTAAATCCATGACTGATTTTTCTTCAAATTCTAATAATGCACTCATTCTATTTTATGTGCAACTCCACGTTAATGCATGAATCCAACTTAATCTACCAATCCCTCTTCTGACACCATGTTCTGTTTCTTGTCATAAACCATCTCAAGTGAGATGTATATATTGAAACAGACACAAGGGTGTTGCTTCCAAGAATTTATTTCTCAGAGTGACTCATATGAGCAATCCAGAAAGTGGGTCCCTAACGGTGTATGCGTATATAAGTTGGAGAAAGATGTACACATAATGTAGATTGTATATTCCATTTCAATAATACAATTGGATGAAAAGGAGAAGAAAAAGAAGAATAAAATGGATAAAATAAGGTGCTGGTGGAGAGAAAGAAGAGAGGAGAGAAAATAGAAGAAAGCTAAAAGGCTTTTTAGAGGGCCACTCCATTGCCTCGAAAAGATTTACTCCTTTGCCAAATCACGTTTTTGTCTTTCTATGGTATAGTTGTTTGTTTGTAAATGTCTATGTCCGTGTCTGTCAATATTGTATTTGTCCCTATAGACCATTCTTAGAATGTATTCATGTACTAATGTGAACTTAAGATAAACGGATTCACAACGAGGCTAAGCTAGGACCCACTTATAGATTTGTTAGAGCCAGAGGACCAAATTAAATGTTTTGTTAAAATTAAAGAGAAAATTATTTTAATAAACAGATTAACAGAATATCCAATACATAAAATGAAAACATTTTAATTGTTTAGACATGTTTCTTCCCTATTATGTTTACTTTATCTAATGTCTGCATGTGCATATTGGTTGTTAAAGTTCATCCATCTACTAACTCCAGAAATATAATATTAATTATAATCAACGAAGAAGTTCAGATAAATAAAGAACCAATTTGTGTGTTTGGGGGCAGGTGTACACGAATGGCTTTAAAACAGCTTTGAACAAGTAATCCCGATGCTTCGTGGGTAAAGATATAACTGCCAGACTTTTATTGAAACAACAAAAAAAAAAATGTGTGTGTATGAATAAAATCGTATATGCATATTGTCGGTTGATAAATGATTCAGAAAAGAAAAAAAAATTCCTTTAAAAGTTTAAATCATAGTCCCTCCAACCCCCACTAAAAATAGCAAGCACTATAAAAACAAACAGGTTGTGCACTTCTGATACAAGTTAAAATGCAAGCATACTGACATGTACCCAAAACTGTTTAAAACACACCAGACATTCTCAACTGGTTTAGGGGACGTATTTAGTTAAAAGGGCAGCTTGTGTTACTATGCACATTTTGTAAATGTTTTATTCTGACCGCGTGTTTTGCCCACAATATTGATTGATCATAGCTGTACATTTAAAACCATACCTAATCAGAAAAAAATTCGTGATTTAAATAGATTCTTTTCTCTATCCATAACTTGTATTTTGTGTGATGTAGAGAAAAAGGATACTCGAGATAGAACATTATTCAACTTACGTTTTAGAGAAAGGACATATCAAGTAAGTTTTTCCCATTAAAATATATACAGCGGTAATTATATAAGTTAAAATCTTTTTTACGCAAAGGGGGATCAATCTCTATAAAATGCATTACATCAATTACAGCCGCGATCAGTATAATATATTCTCTCGCAAAAGGAATCTATATATTATATGCAGTACAGTTGCGATCTGCCTAGCTTTGCCTCGTCTTCGCGAAGCATTAATATTCACCAGGATCTCAATAAGAATGGTCTATACCACCTTATTCCTATACAGTCCCAATACATTTGATCCTTATACAGTCACACCATGTGAAATTCCCATAAAGTGCTCTTCTAGTCCCATCACGTTAAATTTTCCTTGTCCATATACTGTCCCACGCTATTCCCATGTTTTATTTTCCCGTGTTCGCATAATATCCCACCTTGTTAAATTTTCCTTGCCCATATAGTACAAAGACCCTGTCTGTAATGCTAATTCCCATTATCCGTATTATACAATGCCCCAAATTTAATATAGAAGTCCACATGTCCGTATAGTAACCCACTTCACTAAAATATATTGTTATTTTGAGAAAAATAGAATGCTAGAGTCAGATTTCGTGTTTTATTTTTGGAAAGTATTTTAGTCTCTAACTTCATAAGCGAACATTCTCGGTTTTTATCCTTGAATGTTGCATAATGAAAACAAAGATGGAGGA